AAGGGGTTCAAGGACAGAACCTTGAGGGACTCCTACAGAGAGAGGAGGTGGAGAGGAGGAGACCGAGTTATAGGTAGCGCTGAAGGAGTGCTGTGATAGATAGGAGGAGAACCAGGAGAGAGCGGAGTCTTAGAGACCAAGAGAATGGCGTTTTTTGTGAAGGAGGGGATGGTCAACAGTATTAAAAGTTTGGTTATATCAAACATACAATATGTTCACAATATTTCTTACATGATATATTGTTGCAATTGGATTGTCCAAGTATAAGGGGACCACCTCACCAAACCTTTGTTTCTCTTCTCCCATTCATGGGAATTAGTTGACTCTAGTTCTAGGGGAAGATTTTGTGAGTTGGAGGTCCTTTTATACACTTAATTCCCTGCAAAGCACATAAATACATGCATAAAATACACATTTTTCGAATCTCTGGGGGAAATTACTTTCTCCGTAAAGGTGTTTATGCAAAAGCAAAGAGTAAATACTTATATAACTGCAGGCATGCCACTCGGGTTCAAAGAAATTGTTGACCAGAAACTGACACTTTGGGGAGTTTCTATCCCTTGATCCCCCTTTGTGCTCAGTGGTTCTCCCACTAGCCTGAAGATCCCTAGAAGAATTCAAATTTCATGACAGGGTAGTTTCAAGAATGACTCAGGATATTTATTACCACAACACAAGAGTTATTAGAGTTGAATTACTAAAGCCAAATAGACTATTCACTTTTCAAGGGAAGTTGGAATATGTACATTCATTTTCCCCAAGTGAATGAAGTGAAGCTCTGCTGTGGTCTACCACCCAATTATATGCAAGTGTCAGGAATGGATTCACCACTGGTGGTGGGACTCACCTGCCGTGTGGGCTGCAGTACCAGGGCTGGCCAGCGGGTGCTTTCAGCAACCAGAAGCTCACTCCTGCAATCAGCCATCACCTGAAGCTGATTGCAGGAAGTGTATTTAAGGAATGGCCAGACCTGCAGTCAAGGCCTTGGTGTATGTTTCCCATGAGCCCCTGTACCTGGTATCCTGTGTTCCTGCCTATCTGCCTAGTTGCTGACCCTGCTTTGATCCTGACCTCTGCTGATCGTCTCCTGTTGAACTCCTGGCTTGCCTGACCATCCTTCTGCCTGATCTTCTGTACCGCGCTGCCCGTGAGTTACTGAACCCGGCTTGTGACCCTGACTATTCTCTGCCTGCTCCTCCGGTACCTCGCTGCCCACACGTTGCTGACCTGGCCTGCCTGACTATGCCTGACGCTACCCAGACGATCCATCCATCCCGCACGGATGTGTCCCTGTTACCAGGTCTGCCAGCCTCTTCACGTCAGGCTTTCCCCCGGTACATACTCTCGGCAGACCCCTCTACCACAGTTGGGTGCACTCAGGGGCCGCGACCTGGTCTCAGTCCTGCGCCACGTCCATCCCCACCATCAGGGGCTCTGGTGAAAAGGCAGACTGGGGCTTAGACTCCGCGCCCTGGGGAATCCCATTCTGTAGATAGTAGAGATCCCGCCGGGCGGTGCCTGACAGTACCTGACGGCCTGCCTGACCATTCCACCTCTCCAGCCCTGACTACGCCTGTGTTCCCACACATTTCTGGTCATACCCGGATCCTTGACAGCAAGTCATTTTTTAAAAATATTTTCTCTGTGATTGATTATACATTGAAAAGTGAATTTTCACCACACTCAACTCCTAGAAAAACTTCCTTTCAAATTAAATCTTCCATTTCTGAGTGAACAATTTATTTGCACTTAATATATCAACCCTAAGAAGAACATTATTTCAGTATAAAAAAAATACATTTATTTTCTGTTTTTAGTCTTGGTCAACCCATACATCAGCCTTTTTTTGACCCAGTGATACTTTTTAATGCCATCAATGCATAAACAATTTCTAACTTCTGCACAACCATTTTATACATCCACAAACCACCATTTTGTAATACTTGTTGGGCAACACATCACACTGCAGGATCCTTTTAATAAAATATATTTCTAATACCTGTGGTTAATTCTCATTTATCCCAAAGTTGCTTTTTTTTTCGTGAAAACTAATTTGGAAAAAGCTATTTTGATCTCATGGTTTCTGAAGCTGTAAATAATAGGGTTTAGCAAGGGTGTGACCACTGTATATAGCAATGAAAGTACTTTGTTAATGTTTAATTCATGCTCTTTAGAGAGAAATAGATAGACAACAACCAAAGTCCCGTAATAGATGGACACAACGGTCAAGTGGGAACTACAAGTGTAGAAGGCTTTCTGTCTGCCAATTTTGGTAGGTATTCTGACTATTGTGATAAAGATAAAAATATATGTACCAGTGATGTACATTAGAGGGATAAAGGTTGCTGGAAGACCTGTAATAAGATTACAAACCTCCATAAAAGTTGTGTCTGAACATGATAGCTGTAGGAGAGGAGCCAGGTCACAGAAGAAATGGTCAATAACGTTGGGACCGCAGAAATCTAGTCTACCCATCTGAATAGCCGTGGTCAACATGACAGAGAATGCTAAAAACCAGGACCAAAAAACCAACTGGGTGCACCTCGGAAAGTCCATGATCAAAGAATATCGTAATGGGTTGCATATGGCCACGTAACGGTCATAAGACATAATTGCAAGAAGAAGACATTCTGTTGTGTGGCCAGAGCTCCAAAAAGATAAAACTGGGTAATGCATCCAAAGAATGAAATGGACTCTTTGACTTTCAATATAATGTTCATCATCAAAGGGACTATCACCGAGCTGAGGAGAAGATCACAAGATGACAGGTGGCTCAGGAAAAAGTACATAGGAGAGCTAAGACTTTGACTTACTGCCACCAGGAAGATGATCAGGAGGTTGCCTGATATGGTGGCCACATAGAAGAGCAAAAATGCTAGGAAGAGGAAACCTTTGTAGCTAGGAATATTCTGAAAACCCAGGAGCATGAAACAGGTGACCACTGTTTGATTCATTACCTAGAGCTGAAAGAAAGTTATCAGTGCAAATAAATAAAATTATGGAGTATTACAGCAATCGATAATATGATTTATAATATAATATAATATGCAGTCACATAATAGTAGGTTAGGCTTGCTTGGCTTCTAGGAACAGGAACTGTTATAGATGATGCAACATTAAGCTATATTCCCTGGTCACTTGTATAGAGGTGACCTGTACAATACATTGGTTTTGAAACAATTGGTTAATTTGTGAGATACACAAGATACAACGTCTGGTAGATAATCAGTCCAACCAGTGAAAAGGTCTCACACGTGTAGCATTCCCATACCCAGGAGGTGTAGTAGAATATAAATAGCAGAATGTGTTTGTGGGTGTAATATTAGGTATACCCACGCTTTGTGTTAGAAATAACTTACAACTCAGCTCTCCTTATCACTTTACCCTTCCCCTACCAGAACCCTTGACCCTTAACCTCCCTGGCGGTATTCCCGAGTGTAGCTCGGGGTAAAGTCTCAGTACCACAAGCGGTAACTCCAAGCTACACTCGGGCTTACCATGCAACGTTGCTCAGGGATTCACTGCAGCGCTTACCTTGTCCTTCGCTCCCGCAATGTGTCCCCTGCAGCGTCCCCGGCCATCTCCTCTGGTCAATGCCGGCATCCGGCTTCCATGTTCCGGTCCCTGTGACGTCGGGACGTATCGGCGCCGGAACCCGTGGCAAATTTGAAATTTTTAAAAAATATCATTTTTTTAAAATGATTATTACATAGTAAAACATTGCTGTTTCAAAGCATTTCACATACATTTTATCCTGTGCCCTGCCAGCATTTTGACTGTTCTTTCTGCCTGGAAACTGAGAAAGGTCCATGGCGTCCAAAAAGCGTCCCTTTATGTCAAAAGCGGTTTTAGACCGGCTAGAGAACAGCGATAGTAAATCAGAACCACTTGCAGAATTGAATGATAATGATTTGTGGGGGAAACTCCTCATCAGACACCGAAAACGATTCTGCGACTTTACTCAGTGATGTGCGAACTTGGCGCTATATTTCAAATTTCAGTGTTTTTGGTTTGATTATATTATTGAATTAAACGTATTACTATTATATTATTTTTTTTATGATTATTTATTAAATTATAATTTATGATTTTGTGTTTCAAGTTTTATCCTACCTGGATGTTTACTAGACTCTTGTTCGGACAGATTTCAGTGAGTTATTCCTAAAAATTACAACCTACAATAAAAAAACTACATATTTCCATGCAAAAAAAATGGTACCGCTTTCAGCACCAAAAATCTGAAATAATCATACCGCTAGGGAGGTTAAAGTGTATGCCCAGCTAAAAAAAAATGTTTTCAGTTTTGGATTGAGCAGAGAAGGATTAGAACCCACTCTAAAATTTGTACTGACAACCAGAGCCCCATTGGAAATCTTTAATCTTACTTTTTTCTACTGACAACAGTTTCATCAGACAGTAATCAAGGGAACATCTGCAACAGGGACACAAACAGAAAAAAAAAATCTGATGCATTGGACCTTTGTACACTATTACCAATAATAAGAACTTGCCCTAAACCTTTGACTTCTTATATCCCTTGCTGGTGCTCTGTATTTGTACTTATTTGACATATAACTTGAAGAACCCCGCATCTTTACCATGTAAGTAATTGTCATGCCAACCTCACTGACTTCTACCCTAGGAAGCAGAAAATGAAGATATTATCCCATACAAGGGTTCACCCTGATCCAAAGCACTGCGGCCGGCCAGTTCTGGGTGGGCGTCATATGACGTCCTCCCAGAACGCGCTCGCCTGCGCGCCCCCCCGGGGCGCACACCCGGCGATCTCCATGATCGTTGTGTCCTACGGACACAGCTGATCACGTGACGTGGTAAAAGGCCAATCACAGCGGCCTTTTACCACGTGATCAGCCGTGTCCAATGACACGCTGATCACCGGGAAAATGCAAATGCCGGTTCTCGGCTGCACTTTCCTCACGCTGTCAGATCGGGAGTTGTCAGAGCGGGGATCGGCACCGATTTAGCAGTGTCCTGATGATCGGTGCCCAGCAGTGCCCACACACAAATTCCGCCCACCTGTGCCCAGCAGTGCGTCCACCTGTGCCCAGCAATGCACCCACCTGTGCCCAGCAGTGCGCCCACCTGTGCCACCCAGCAATGTCACCACCTGTGCCCAGAAGTGTCACCTACCTGTGCCCAGTAGTGCCACCCACCTGTGCCCACCCACCTGTGCCCATCAGTGCAGCCCAGCAGTGCTGCCAGTCAGTGCCACCAGTCAGTGCCCAGCGGTTGTGCCAGTCAGTGCCCAGCAGTGCCACCAGTCAGTGCCCAGCAGTGATGTCAGTCAGTGCTACCTATCAGTGCTGTCTATCAGTACCCATTATCAGTGTTGCCTATCAGTGCCACCTATCTGTGACACCTCATTAGTGCTGCCTATCAGTGCCGCCTATCAGTACCCTTCAGTGCTGCCTATCAGTGCCGCCTATCAGTGCCCATCAGTGCTACCTCATCAACGCACATCAGTGAAGGAGAAAAATGACCTGTTTGAAAAATTTTATAATAGAAACAAAAAAACTTTTTTTTTTTTTTCAAAATTTTTGCACTTTTTTTGCTTATAGCACAAAAAGTAAAGTGCCCGGCAGCAATTAAATACCACCAAAAGAAAGCTCTATTTGTGAGAAAAAATGATAAAAATTTCATATGGGTACAATGTTGCATGACCGCGCAATTGTCAATCAAAGTGCGACAACGCTGAAAGCTGAAAATTAGCCTGGTAAATAAGGGGGTATAAGTGCCCGGTAGGCAAGTGGTTAAATAAAAAGAGGTTTCAGAAAGAAGTCAGCGGTGGCTGGTGATGGACTGATCTACCCAGGTTCGATTAGCCAAGGGTTAGGAGAACCTTACCTAAAAATTGGGAAACCTGAACTCAAAGATGAATCCCATTGAAGTCAAATTGGGGTAAATCTTGATGTATTTTTGTCATTTAAGGATAATAGGAAAACTACTTTAAATAAAAAGATGGGAAAATGGGAACTGCCATGGGGAACATGTACCAATTGTGATCTGCAGTACTGTAGCTTGGGAATGACAGACAGCTACTTTGATAAAAGCATCCAGATCGTTTTTTTTGAAAAATTGATAAACAAAATAGCTTTCTTCAGCCCAAAGCAAGTTAAGGCTCCATTCACCTTAGTGGCTTTTTAAGCTCCTAGACGCTGTTTTTAGCATTGTTTCTGTTCCCAGAAGCTAAATAGTGTTATCCTATGTATTCATACACACTACTTTAGGCTATCAGCATTTTTTTAACTTCAGTTTCAGGAGCAGAAAATAAATTGTTCTTGTAGAGTTTTTGGAAGCGGTTTCCAACAGAAAAAAAAACGCTGAATGCTCCTAAAGGCTTCAAAACATTCCTAAAAGCCACTAAAATGTTCCTAACATCTTTTTTCTAGTTTTCTTTTTTCCTACATGTACTATAAAAAAAATGCTAATAAAATGCTAATGCTCCTAAAGACTTCTAAAATGCTACTAAAACACTATTACCAGTGTTTTTTCAAGCAGAACGCTAGTATGCTTGGAGTCTAGTCTAAAATCTTGCCACAACAAAATTATAGAGCAGGCGCACCTCCAATCTTTTGGTCCGACATTGAGATTGGGCTACTCCGTGGTTCAGGGGGGGCAGTCAGGCCACAGGGATCTAGCAACACGTGTCTCAGTTTGTCTGAGAGCTCCCGTTTTACTCACTGTTTGAGCCTCTCTCTCCACTCTACTTTCTTGACTCAGATGCTGATTTCTCTCTTCTGCCCTTCAAGCCTCCCCTGCCTGGGGCTTAACCCCTTTGGGACCAGAGTTCTGATAGTCAGGGTTTGGAAGTTCTTCCCACCCAAATCTCTTCGAACCTATGAAATTCCAGGTCTCTAATAAAAATGTATCAACTGACAACCAGTTCTTTCTTTCAACCAGATCACCCAGGAACCCTTCACCCTACATAGGTGAGAACCTTTAAGTACCCAGTACTCAGCCCAGTCCTAAAGGGATGACAACTCAAACACTGGTGAAGTATACCTGCTGCCAGGGGCAGACTGACCATTTGGAAACTCGGGCACTGCCCGAGGGCCCGGGGTCAGTAGGGGGCCCCATGAGATGCCCCTGGTACCTTTTTCATAGGCTTTTTTGAGTTTGGGCAAGGACACAGGGGCCCCATGATCCCCTATTGCCCGGGGGCCCCAAGAGTTGTCAGTCCGCCCCTGCCTACTGCCCAGGACACACTTCCAGTGTCCTGCACACAATGTAAAAAATATGTTTTATTGGCTGCTTTTTAATCAAAAGGTAACAAGCCTGCTTTTACTGGCATATAGAAATCAACTAGTAGTTTGCTGTGGATGTCCTTGTTCTCACTGATGCAAAACTATCCTGTTGCTGGTCAATTTTTCATTAAGTTCTACATATGGCACTGTAGAATTGACCAGCAGCAGGACAGTTTTATTGAGGGAGCACTAAATGAAATGTACTACAGAGAAGGAGAACAAGAAAGATATTTACTACAAGAATTAGGAGACTGCAGATGACACAACACTAATAAAGTGGCCAGTAGCGGAACAATTTTAAAGAGTAAGGCTAGGCCTAAATTTACTAGAGATAAAAGCACAAGCTGGGGCTTTACCATACGAGTAATCAGAGCTTTGCATATTCCTTTGAGCCAATTAAATGTATTAAAATGAATGTTTAGGACGAGATAACAATTCTTGTTACTGTAAACATTACCTGAACCTTCTCTTACTACACGGTTATTCCTGCTCTATATTAAAAGCATAATTTCAGCCATAAAAAAATGCTTAAAAAATGTATAGCCCCCAAAAAAAAGATTTAAAAAAAATAGATGTGGTACAATAGTCAGCTTTTGCTCCAAAAATTCCTCGTGCAATACTTTTTGTTCTGCCACTAAATCCAGTTTCATTCCTTTGACTTCCCCCTAAAATCCATACCAGACCCGAAGGGCTTGGTATGGATGAGAGGGGGGACTCCACACCAGTTTTTAATTTTTTTTTTTTAATTGTCAGGCAATGCTGATAATTCTTTTTACATTTAGCTATCAGCGGGGAACCCCACTGACAGCTGAAACGTGAATGTTTCACTACTAAAATCCTGCATGACTTAATAATGTAACTCATGCCGGATTTTAGTAACTGAGTGGTATCTTATCATATGCTCAGATGCGGTAAGATACCGCTCAGTAAATTGTTTGTGTTCGAAGTTCACGGTCGAAAATTCTGTAGGTTCAGATGTTTGACCGCAAACTGAACAGAGGGGTGTTCGACCCATCACTAGTACTGTACTGTACGTACCCTCTATATCAGTGATGGCGAACCTTTTTGAGCCCGAGTGCCCAAAACTGCAACACAAAACCAACTTTTTTATTTCAAAGTGCAAACACCTTATCACGTGATCAGCTGTATCCGTAGGACACAGCGATCACCGGCAGCGCAGGGTATGTGCCACTGGGTTCGCGTTCTAGGACGCCCTCCCAGAACTAGACAACCACGCTGCAGCCATCTTTTGGCTATAGCATGGTTGGCAATCTCACCTCTGGCAGTGTCGGTGTGGCTTCCAACCCAGCAGCTCATTCCCATCCACGCTGAACACGTTGCCCCTGGCCCCGGAGCAGTGTGGGAGCCTCTTTCTCTCTTCCACGCCCATCCCCGGCTACATCACCCCTGGCCCCGGAGCAGTGTGGGAGCCTCTTTCTCTCTTCCACGCCCATCCCCGGCTACATCACCCCTGGCCCCGGAGCAGTGTGGGAGCCTCTTCCTCTCTTCCACGCCCATCCCCGGCTACATCACCCCTGGCCCCGGAGCAGTGTGGAAGCCTCTTCCTCTCTTCCACACCCATCCCTGGCTACATCACCCCTGGTTCCAGATCCGCATAGGAGCCGTTTACTCTTGTCCACACCTACCCTGGCCCCAGAGACATGTGGGAGATGTAGTTTGATGGGGTCCAGTGTGGACGAGATCTGGATGGCCGGTCAGTGTGCGTGGTCCGTGTGCGCTCATCTTCCTCTTCTTCCTGGCGTGCCCACTGAGATGGCTCTGCGTGCCAGCTCTGGCACTCGTGCCATAGGTTTGCCATCACTGCTCTATAGTATATTGTACATCAATATACAAGATGATATTTTACTTTACAACTGAACTTTTTGTTTGTGTGGTCACAGTTGGACTGTGCTAACTTTATTTGTGGGGATTTTCCCACCCTCTGCCCTTGGATCCATCCATCTACATTTGTATTGCTCCATTGGTATGTCTAGGGCTGGTATGAGTCCTACCATCTCGGCTCTCAGGTTGCACATCTCCCAGAAATCTTAGATATGCAATAAATATTGTAGTCTCCGCATGGATCCTTGCTATCCTAACAACAGTTCAGGTACATCCTATATTCTTTCTATCTCTTTTATTCAATAGGGAAGAATGACTGAAGAAAGCAAAGTCTTTTGCATCTTTGCCCCGGCTATGCAGTCACTTACCTGCGGCAAGGTAACCTCTCAACTACAAAAGCTGTTTAATTATTTGCTAGAAATCTGGGGGAAAAAATCAGCACAGATCACATTGCAGGCCTCAATGTTTATTATAGAACAAGCAGCCACTGATTTACAGTGAGTATTTATCGTTTTTATGCATTGCTGCCGTACGAGTTTAAAGTCCTACTGGGATTACCATCGGGGCCATCTGGGGCTTTGAATGTTCCTTTGAGTCAATTAAATGTATTCCGATGAATGTTTAAGGCAAAGTAACAATTCTCATTACTGTAAACATCACCAGAACCTTTTTTACCTTTTAATATTATTTATTTCAGGTACTTATATAGCTGTCAATTTACACAGCGCTTTACATATATATTGTACATTCACATCAGTCAGGGCCTGGACTGAGCGAAGCTGAAAGGGAGGGCCAGCATGACTGGGGTGGGCAGATGAGGCGGAGCTTGTGTTTGGGTGGGAGTATATGCAGCAGGTAAGGGGGTGGTTACTCACCTGAATGGTGCACGCAACCTTGAGGGGTGGTCTTGCCAGGATTAGGAGGGGGGTTGGGTCTTGTCGGAGGTCAGTCGGAAATTGTGCCAGCCTGGGGGTGGTTTCTCCCGCCCTCCCTCCCTGGAGCTGTTTTGTATTTTTTTTCTGCTGTTTTGGTTCTGGTTTGTTCTTTGTGTTTGTCCTGTTGTTTGTTTTGTGTGGGTTCCTTGAGTTTGTTGGTTGTCCGGAACGGCATTTTGTGTCCCAAGGTGTCTGTTTGTTTTGTCGTGGCAGCCGGCAGGGGTCCATGGGTCTTTGAAGGCGGTGCTGGAGTGACAATTTGGTGGATTATGGGTTGGGCCCATCGTAGGTATGGGTGTCCCTTCCCAATTATAAGGTCACATTAATAATGTGGGAGTTCATTGCCTGTATCTGGGACTCTGTAACTGTAGTATTGTCCCCGAGGCGGTGTAGTAGCGGCTGGGGGCCTTTTTCATTGGGTGTCAGATACAGCCAAGTTTTTGATGTGAGTAACGGTGCCTTCGAAGACCTTGGACCCGGTTGGGATCTTTACTGTCAGTTATTATTTGAGTGTACTGTAAGAAGTGTTATGTTAGAGTTATGTTAAATAAATGTCTGCTATGGACGGTTTTACACCAAAAAGAGCTGCCTGGTTATTTAGGTGGTAAAGGTTGAAGGGTGGTGGTGGTTTTTATGCATTAGGGGTAAGTATTAGCCTCGATATTCTGCATGTGCATCAGTCAAGTCCCTAACCCTCAAGGGGCATACAATCTAAGGTCCCTATACCTCAAGGGGTGTACAATCTAAGGTCCCTAACTCACATTCATACATACACATACTTGGGACAATCTAGACAGGAGCCAATTCACCTACCAGCATGTCTTTGGAGTGTGGAAGGAAACAGGAGTACCCAGAGGAAACCCACGCAGGCACAGGAAGAACATGCAAACTCCAGGTAGAAGGTGCTGTGGTTGGGATTTGAACCAACGACTCTAGTACTGCCAGGCCAAAGTGCTAACCATTTAGCCACTGTGCTGCCCCTTATTCCCAGTTATCTATTCAATGGTCAAGGATCTTGCTTCATAATAATCCAGAATATCACCCATAAAAAAAAAAAAAAAATGAATAGTCGCATGAAAGATAAACATTAATAAACCAGTTTTGGTGCAATATTATTATTATTATACAGGATTTATATAGCGCCAACAGTTTGCGCAGCGCTTTACAAAATGAAGGAAGACATTACAGTTACAATACGATTTGGTACAAGAGGAAACAGAGGGCCCGGATCCTTAGTGCTTACAATCTAGGAGGAAGGGTCAAGTGTTACAAAAGGTAATAGCTGTAGTGGATGAGCTGATGGTGAAAGTAAAAACACAGGGCATTAGTTAGAAACAGGATGGGCTTCTTTGAAGAAAAGAGTTTTTAGGGATCATCTAAAAGTGGATAGATTAGGAGATAGACAGACAGCTTTGGGTAGGGAGTTCCATAGGATGGGAGCAGCTCGAGCGAAGTCCTGGAGGTGAGCATGGGAGGAGGTGACATGGGAAGTAGAGAGCAGGAGGCCTTGGGAGGTTTGAAGAGAGCGGTTTGGTTGATATTTTGAGACCAGGTTGGTGATGTAGCTGGGGGCAGAGTTGCGGATGGCTTTGTAATTAGTTGTTAGTACTTTGGATGTTATTTGTTAAACGAGTGGAAGCCAGAGGAGGGATTGGTAGAGAGGGGTGGAGGACACTGAATGGAGGTCAGTGGAGGGATTGGCAGAGAGGGATGGAGGACACTGAGTGGAAGCCAGTGGAGGGATTGGCAGAGAGGGATGGAGGACACTGAATGGAGGTCAGTGGAGGGATTGGCAGAGAGGGATGGAGGATACTGAGTGGAGGCAAGTGGAGGGATTGGCAGAGAGGGATGGAGGACACTGAGTGGAGGTCAGTGGAGGGATTGGCACAGAGGGATGGAGGATACTGAGTGGAGGCCAGTGGAGGGATTGGCAGAGAGGGATGGAGGACACTGAGTGGAGCCCAGTGGAGGGATTGGCAGAGAGGGATGGAGGGCACTGAGTGGAAGCCAGAGGAGGGATTGGCAGAGAGGAGTGGAGGACACTGAATGGAGGTCAGTGGAGGGATTGGCGGAGAGGGATGGTGGACACTGAATGGAGGTCAGTGGAGGGATTGGCAGAGAGGGATGGAGGACACTGAGTGGAGACCAGTGGAGGGATTGGCAGAGAGGGATGGAGGACACTGAGTGGAGGTCAGTGGAGGGATTGGCAGAGAGGGATGGAGGACACTGAGTGGAGGCCAGTGGAGGGATTGGCAGAGAGGGATGGAAGACACTGAGTGGAGGACAATGGAGGGATTGGTAGAGAGGGATGGTGGGCACTGAGTGGAGGCTAGTGGAGGGATTGGCAGAGAGGGGTGGAGGACACTGAATGGAGGCAAGTGGAGGGATTGGCAGAGAGGGGTGGAGGACACTAAATGGAGGCCAATGGAGGGATTGGCAGAGAGGGGTGGAGGACACTGAATGGAGGCCAGTGGAGGGATTGGCAGAGAGGGGTGGCAGATACTGAACAGTTGGTAAGGTGGATTAGTCTGGCAGCAGCATTCATGATGGACTGGAGGGGGGATAGCCTATGTAAAGGTCATCCAATGAGGAGGGAGTTGCAGTAGTCGAGGCGAAAGATAACCTGGGATTGACAAATATGCTTTGTCATGTCATTGGTTAAAAAGGGGCGTATTCTGGAGATGTTTCGGGGGTTGAGGTGGCAGGATTTGGACAGGGATTGGATGTGGGCCTGATAGGACAGTCCAGAATCCAGGGTTAATCCTAGCACCATGGCATGTGGGGACGGGTTGATAGTTGTGCCATTGATCTTGACAATATTCAGTATGTTACTCCACAAATGTCCCCTGCAGTACTTTTTTTGCCACTAGATGTCCTAATCTGATAACTAGTATCATTTTACGCACTTCCTCTGAGCACAGGTTGTCCTGGAATGGCACCCAGCTTATGACTGGACAGTAACCCCCCGGGTCACAACGATCCCGACTTTCAAATCGTGCGACTTACAGTGCAGTTGCACAATTTCAAAGTTGGATGACATGCCGATTTGAGGTGCAATTTGCAAAATATCTGACACAGATGTCTGTGGAAATCACACCAAAAGTAGTGCAGGTACTATTTTACAAACTGGTGCGGCTCCAACCAAGTCAGAACCGCACCGATATGACCGCTGTAATTGCAGACAATAGGGTGCGAGTTGCTATGCAATTTGCATGTCGTATGGCTTACAAATCTCACGCCAAGTCACACCCGATGTCACCGGAGACTAAAAAGAAAAGCAGGACAGTGATGAGCTCATTTCACTGTCACTTTGTACTCTCCTTCTATCAGCATGCTCTTCCACATGAACTGACTGGCTTCTTGTACTGTTTTGTCCTCCTGCACTCCAGCAATGCATTACTTGAAGAGGTTGATATCTGTTCATACTCATGTACTTGCACTGCTAGCATTTACTTTCAATGTTTTTGTTGATGTTTAAAGTAGAGATGTGCATTCATTTGTGTTGCTTATATCTGCCCTGAGTTAAAGTGTTACTAAACCCCTAACAGTACAATCAGTCTGTATATGCAGTAAGGCATGCTTGTTACACTCACTGTGGAACCTAAGAGGTTATTCCTCTGCATTGTGTAAAAAGGCTGTTTGATCCTGACTTCTCTGATCCTCCCCTTCTTCCAGTGTCCCCTCATTATCTCCTGATAGGACATATTGTGTGGAGTCGCTCTGCACATGCTTAGTTTAGTGCGTATTGCTAGAGAGGTTTTTTTTTTTCTTGGGAGAGTGCATGTGATCAGTACAGGGCCAATCAGCACTGTCCAGACAGAGGTCAGGGGTTCTGCATCCTCCTAGAGCAAAAAGAAACTTTCACCCCCTTTCAGTCCGGACACTTTCACCCCCTTTCAGTCCGGACACTTATCCCCCCTTCCAGTCTGGACACTTTAACCCCCTTCCAGTCCGGAAGCATTTTTTTGAGACAGATAAAACTTTATTTTGGTGGTATTTATCCACCGCTGGGATTTTAATTTTTTTTTTTTTGCTATATAAACGAAAAAGTCCAACAATTTTGAAAAAAGTGTTTTTCTTATAAAATTTTTCAAATAAGTAATCTTTTCTTCATAAATCTTGGCCAAAATGTATTCAGTTATCTTTTTAGTAAAAAAAAAAAAATAACCCAAATTAGTTTATAACCAATAATTACAATTTTGTACATTTTTTTTTTCTATATTATTATTTATGGTTTTTTTTTCAACATACTGTCACCCTAGCAGCACAGTGTCACCATGGTGACACTGTACTACTTGTAAGGGGTGATGAAGATTTTTTTTTTTTTTTTTTTTTTTATACTGGTTGCTTTTACACCATAAAGGCTGTAAAAGCAATCATTTCTCAATCTCTCTGGCTACATTCTTGCAGCCATTGAGAAATACTGTGTGAGCTGTGATTTATCAAAGCTTGTCACATGGTACAAGGCTGTTGTGAATGGCCCTGTACCATGAGATCTCTGTGATCATTCACAGATTTCACACGTAGTAAGCAATGATGTCAGAAGTGACATCTTGCTTACACCTATTCATGTGATCACTGATTGGCCAATCAGTGATCACATGATCGGAACCTCACACAGAGGAACCTCACACAGAGGACACAGCAGGCACCGGATCGCAGTGCCGCACTCTCCCAAGGATCCTGCACAATCCAAAATGGCGGGTGCCATTTATGAATGGCAACCCGACCCTGGACTGCCACCCTACGGCCGTTTTTGTATACATGGGCCGGATGGGAAGTGGTTAATTTTGGCACCAGATGGGAGCTCTACTGTTGATAGGAAACAAAACTGCATGTAGCTACTGTATATGATATTACAGTATATTACAGCACACACAATGGCGGCATAGTTCTGTAATGGATTTAGTTTGTTTGGTCAGCTTGGCTCAAACAAATGATTTAATGTACAGGAAAATACAGCCCGGTTGCACACAGGATCAGCAGATTGTAAACATGACTACATGTTTAGATAAAGGTCTGGTGTGGATCTTGGAGGAGACAGCACATTTTTTCTTCTTGTTTTTTGTTTCCCCCTAAAATGCATACCAGACCAGACCTTACATCCTTGTGAGGCAGAGACAGCAACAGGAGGCATATGAGAAGAACAGTTAGGTTGCCATGGGTGGGGAGGTGAAGAAAATGGATCAGCATTCTAGATGAACACTTTATGTCTCCTAAACCAGGGGAGCTCGGTGAGATGGTTGAGAACACTATTGTCCAGTGGTGGACTGGCAACTCATGGGGCCCCGGGCAATAGGGGATCATGGGGCCCCTGTGTCCTCGCCCACACTCAAAAAAAGCCTATGAAAAGGTACCAAGGGCATCTCATAGGGCCCATTACTGACCCCGGGCCCTCGGGAAGTGCCCGAGTTCCCAAATGGCCAGTCCACCCCTGCTATTGTCCATGGCAAAACTGAGGACTAGGGGTCCTCTGCTGTAAGTAATTTTTGGCAAATGAGCTTATTCATGCTGAAATGCCTGCGCAAGGACTCCGGGATTGGAGTCATGAAGGAAAGGGACCAATACTGGGTTTTCAAGCTTTTTAATCCCTGATACAAAAAGAAAACGGCAGATGCCATCCCAGAGAAAACAAAAAATGTGCCACTTAAACGTAGTGCTGCAGAAGAACCTATGGGCACATTTGCAGATGGTGGCAGGTTCCTCTCCTATGCCCCTCCCATGTGCCTCTAATCCTCACATTGCTGCAGTGCTGGTGGCTGAGTTATTTTTTTTTGGTCATGTTTCAAAAAACATCAGACACACCTGGCTGTTGGCAGCAGTCATAGGAAGTACCTTAGCCATATGTCCTCACATTACTGGGGACCAGGATGGAATGCGGGCACTCTTTAAACAGAGGACCCCATGGATTTTTATGTTCAGACTGGACCACTGGCTGGAGCTTGTACAGTATGTGGGTGAGGGCATTCAGTGCAATGAGAGGTTTTGTGACCAAGGGAAGAACCTGTTTATCCCCTGACATAGTATACTGGTTCACTTTACTAAAATTATTACTATAAACCACAATTTTTAATATAACCCTTAAAGCTTATGCCAACAGCTAAATATTTTCTTATTATTACCATCCCCTGACACAACCTGCTGGTTTTCCACTAATACAAGTTACTTTTACCTCTCCTGTTCTGCCAACATTAACAGGCACCTGCCACCATTACGAACCCTTGCCACTTGTGTTGGCCTACCACTATTACCAGCTCTTTCCACCTCTGTCAGCCTACAACCATTACCATCTCCTGCCACTGCTGTTGTCCTGCCACCTTTCCTAGCTCCTGCCACCTCTTCTGACCTGCCACCATTACTAGCCCTTGCCACCATCACCAGTTCCTTTCACCTTTGCTTGCCTGCCTCCATTACCATCTCCTGCCACTTCCACCAGCCTGCCACCGCTATCATCTTCGGCAACCACTGCTGGCCTGCCACCATTATTAGCTCCAGCCACCTCTGCTGGCCTTTCAACATTACCATCTCAACCTCTCAACATTATCACCTTTGCTGATCCTACTACTGCTGCTGGCCTCTCAACATTACCATCTCTGGCCACTTCCACTGACTTGCCACACTTACCATCTCCTGCCACCTCTGCTGGCCTGTCTCAAATTACTGAATTCTGCCACTGCTGCTGGCCTGCCAACATTCATTACCTTCTCTTGTCATGTCTACTGCCCGGTCACCATTACTAAATCTTACCACTTTAGCTGGCGTGCCACCATTACGTGTTCCTACCACCATTACTAGATCCTGCCACTGCTATTGGCCTGCCAGAATTACTGCCTCCTGTCATGTCTACTGACCTGCCACCATTATTAGCTCCTACCACTTCTGCTGGACTGCTACCATTATAGGTTTCTGCCACCACTGCTGAACTTCCGTCATTACCAATTTCTATAACTGCTGCTGGCCTTCCATTATTACCAGCTCCTGCCACTAATACTGGCCCAACACTGATACTAGTTCTTTCCACCTCTTCTGGTCTGCCACCATTACTAGCTCATGCCTCCACTGCTGGCATGCCACCATAACCACTTTCTGCCACTGGTAATAGCCTACTATTATTAACATTTCCTTCCTCCATTACTGTCCTTCCACTGCTGCTGACCTGCCACCATTACTAGCTCCTGCCACCTCTGCTGACCTTCCACTATTATCAATTTCTGTCAAGTCAGCTGGGCTGCCAACATTACCATTTCCAGACAATATTTCTGGCCTTCCACCATTACCAGCTCCTGCCAAATATGCTGGCCTGCCACCATTACCATCTCCTGCAACCTCTACTGGCCTGCCACCATTACACCCTCCTGCCAGGATTGCTGGCATGCTATCATTACTAGTTCCTGTGGCCCCTCCTACCCTATTCTGATGCTCCAGTGCCATAAAAAGCAACCGATAATTTTAATG